TCATCCCTTAAGTGTTTAAAATAAATAAACCTTACAGTTAGCCAAATATATGGGATGTAGTTTGGTAAAATGCAACTAAAATACATAAAAGCTATGAGTTTATTAACTAAAATTATAGATTTTCAAAAATAAATAATTAATTCCTGAAAGATTTGAATCAAAGTAGCATATTTTCCTGAGAGAGTAAAATATTAATAATATTTTTTTTGGCACATTTAAAACAAGTATGTTTTCAAATAAATAAAACCTAAAACATGCTTAATGGATTTAAATCAAGGATGATAAAAACAAAAAAAAAACATCCTAACTTTCAGAATTAGTACTGAAATAGCACCTGACATAAAGTTATAAATGGTTGGCTTACAGCAGAATAGTAACTGGTTCGCTGTTTATTGACTAGAGTTAAAGTACCTGCGTATAAATAGACTGAAAAAGTCAATTTTACCGTTGACCCAGTTACAGGAGGTTCGGTAAAGGTGGGCGGTCTAAGGGTCCCCCCCAATGAGAGAAAAGGGCCTGACAAACATGAAGGTTTGCATGCAACAATTACGTTTAATCATTTATGTTATGGCCATTTGTTTGTGTTTTGTTTGTCTTATCTGTTTGTCTTATATGTTGTCTGTAGTGTCTGTGGATCCACTCTAAATATTGTATGTTGTCCATTTGTGAAATGATAGTTTAGCTATTATTTTTTGTCTTGGTAAAATAGAAATGAGGGAATAATTAAGGTTAAACTGTAAAATAAGGACAGTTTTTAGTTTCTGTGGCTCATTCTTTAAAGGGGATTGACATAACGTTCAAATATCACAACAAATAAAGTTTAATGAGACAGATTTGAAAAATTAAATCAAATGAACAGATTATGCTTGTTTAACAATAATTGGGCATTTCTTCAAATAATCAAGGACCTGTGTCGTTATTTAAATGCTAAATGCTAAAGTTTAATTTGTTAACCTTAATTCTTTAGGATTTAGATTAAACTTTAAGGGTAAATAAATCTATATGTCAGTAGCACAAATAGCTTGTATAAAGATAAATTAGACTGATTGAATTTGCTTTTAAATTATTCACAATTCTTTAAGAAGTAAATCTATCTTCAGCTGATCTGGAATAAATATGCAAATTTATTTAACATAATTATTGGTTAATAATTATACGGTGTTCAAATGACTCAATTGGAAATAATGAGGATAATAACATTATTTAATAATAATAATAACGATAACATTAATAATAATGATTACAATGATAGAGGATATAAATAACAGGATTTAATTCCTACATTAAAATGAATGGTGGAGACTTTAAAATGATCAATTCTCAATGAATCCATAGCTCAGATATATCTGGAGGTTAAATTGACTGAAACTTTGTCGTTTTTCTTCAACAGAACATATTTTATTTGTTCTGATGAAGAAAAGGGTGGAAAGAAGATAAAACAAGAGAATAACGGCAAAGCTAAACTCATAAGGATCCATATAGATGCTGTTTATTTTTCCATCTGGAACAGTCCATGTGGAATTTGGGTTGATAATTGAAAGCAGAATAAATAAACATCCTAATTAAATACTAAATTATGACTAAACCAGTAAAGTAAATAAATATGGGAATAAAATGGCCTTATAAAGGAAAATGATCTATTAAGGTAATTCTTAGCAGCAGAGGACAGAAATGACTGCTAGACTTTTGGATGAAGTTTGAACACCTCAGCCTGACTGTCTGATGAGCATTTGGGGAAAACCAGCTTTGTTGATGTTTGTTGATGGTTCGGCTTCTTGGACCCCTGGTTCGGTATTTCTTCACCTCATGAAACTCTTCTTTCTGGTTCTTTGATTTTGCTTTGCCTTGGAAACATCGTTCTGGAAATTGGATGGAAAGCCCATTTTTCTCAAATGGAAGCAACAGAGAAGGCTCTGCTGCAGTCTCCCCTTGTTTACAGCGCTGCAGCCCACTGACACACACAGTCCTCTGCTGAGGAGAAGTTTGTTTGGATTTCTGCATGTGCAGAAGTGATAAGGGTACCGAACACTAAGGAAGTACATTTACTGGGTAAGTTTGAAATTATGGAATAATTCAATGATTTGTGACAAAGTTTAAAATTCAAATTTTAATCTAAAGTTCTTTAAGCTACATGAACTTATTTTGATCTACTATTGTTTGTGAAAGGGTAAGATAACACCCCTCCCTCCACCCCCCCTTTGGGGAGAGCAGAAATGACAGCACCCAGGCCCTGCAACAGCTACCCACCATGACCGGACCAGGAAGGGGTCTAACGTCTGTAAAAGTGTTTTTAAACAGTATGATTGATACTTCTATTTGAGAAATAAGCATTTATACTTTTGAGACCTCTACAGGCACAGCTTCTTCATGTGGCATGCCTAAAATACCACGAGAGTGGGGGTAAAAGGCAGTCTTTTTATCAAGTAGACAGAATATTTTTCTATCCATCCATCCATCCATCCATCCATCCATCCATCCATCCATCCATCCATCCATCCATCCATCCATCCATCCATCCATCCATCCATCCATCCATCCATCCATCCATCCATCCATCCATCAGTAGGGAGGCCCAGTTGTTCCTCTCCACAGCCACTCTGGCCAGCTCCTCAGGGCGAAGCCCAAGGGTGTTCCCAGGCCAGCCGAGAAACATAGTCCCTCCAGCGTGTCCAAGTTCCCCCCCACTGGGACGTGCACTGAACACCTAACCAGGGAAACGTCCAGGAGGCATCCTAACCAGATGCCCGAGCCACCTCAACTGGCTTCTCTTGACGTGGAGGACCAACTGTTCTACTCTGACTCCTCCCCGGATGACTGAGCTCCTAACCATATCTCTAAGGGAGAGCCCAGACACACTACGGAGAAAACTCATTTCGGCTGCTTGTATACGGAATCTCATTCTTTCGGTCATGACCTAAAGCTCATGACCATAGATGTGAGTAGGAACATAGATCGACCAGTAAACTGAGAGCTTTGCTTTTTGGCTCAGCTCTCTCTTCACCACAACAGACCGGTACAGCACATGCTTCACAGCAGATGCAGCACCATTCCACCTATTGATCTCCGTTTCCATCTTCCCCTCATACATGAACAAGACCCCAAGTTGCTTAAACCCCTCCACTAGGGGCAGTACATCCCCCCAATCTGAAAAAGGAACTCTACCCTTTTCTGGCGCAAGACCATTGCCTCGGATTTGGAGGCACTGATCCACCACTTCACACTCGGCTGCGAACCGCTTCAGTGTGAGCTGTAGATCACGCCCCGATGAAGCCAATAGAACTAGCCTAGTAAACCAGCCTCACCTTCCAGCAGCCAAAATCATTTTTGCCTGCGAGTTTGGTCTAGCTGTGATCAATGCCCCAGGCCCTGGAACTGGCAGGCCAATAACAAGGCAGAGATGTGTTTTGAATTTCTGGATACAAATGCAGGGTTTCGAGGGCGTGATGACAAAGCTGCACAAAGCTGTAGAAAGCACAACAAGGAAGATGGCAACAACTATTGAACTATTGAACAGCGGCAGCAGCAGCTTTCAATGGAGCGCTCCACTGAAAGTTAAAAGTTCTCTTTTCTGTTGCTGTTGTTCAATAAAAGTACATTTTAAGATCATTTGAGGGGAGAATATTATACTTTAAAGTGTCACTATATGGTCCATTTATCGATTTAAAGCGTAAGTAAAAAAAACTATTTCTGACGTTGAGAGGACCAGCAGACCTAGCTAACGGCGGCCAGGGCTAAGCGCAGCCCGTCTATAGCAGACCTCTCTCAGCATAGTTAAGTGTGAAGGACCGCTGGCTCTGATGGCGATTTTTGACACAGCTTTGGAATCAGTTTTGGAAGGATTAGACTTGGGGTTTTCGTTGAAAAGTGAGCAGGAAGAGACTCTACGCTCATTAATTTTTAAGAAGGACGTACTCATGGTTTTACCAACAGGCTGCTTGTTTACACATCATGCAATTAATAGAGATGTGACCCACTCTCAAAAGTGGCAAAAGGTTACTTTCACTTTTTCTGCTGTTACTGAAAGAGATTTTGATCCAAAAAATAAACCTTATTGCAATCATACCAAAGACCTGGTATTAGCATTTTACCTAACTGATGAAGGTAGATAAGTTGTATTTGTGATAATTAAATTGTGAATTTAAAATCCATCCCAAATGATTAGCTATGTGCTTCAGAAGTTATTATACATTTAAATGCACCTTTGCTGTTGATTTTTTTTTATATATCTCATATACATTTAACCAACAGTCCTACACTATCATCAATACTGTGCAGTCTGACCTTTTGTAATAGGTCACATGGCGTGCCTTATTATAATTCCCAATGAGAAAAATGCTAAGAAAAATTAATGTGTGACTACAGAGAACTTAGGGTCAAAGATGACAGCAATATAATGGCTACCTGATAGTTATCAGACTGGTTCTATTTTTACACCTTTCAACCCTACAGCTAAAAACCTCAGAGGATTTATTCTGAATTGTATTGATAAACCAATAGGAAGTAGCACTGAACAATGGTGTCACTGTGGTAACTGAGGTGTGATTCTGCCTTCAACATCTGAGAGAAAATATTTTGTAGCACCATGTTTTGCTGCATATATGACTGCAAGACTTCTCCATTAAGTTTTTATCAGTTTGCATTTATAGATATCAGAAGCATAAGTCGGTTTAATAAAGTTGAAACTCTTTAAAGGAAGTGTAGGTAAGAAAATTTACACCACGTATTTCAGTAAAAACAAGCTCTATGTACACCTATCTGCACCATAGCAGTATGCATGGTCAAAAATCTTAATACATTAATTTGAAAAGACATAATTGCAGTATTTGTCAAATATTTTGGAAAGAGCACATACAGATATTTGCACACCATACATGCTAACATGTTGTGGACATGTTTCAGTTTAATGACTGCTGCAGTCACGGTGTGTGCATGGGTGTATGTTCTGTGTAAAACAGGAAGGAAACACTCTAGACTCCAATTCTTAGTATGTTTTGCAGCAGGTCCATATGTGAGCATGGCCAAAAAGTTGCTGTTCAGGCTGGGCTTCTTTGGTAAGTGCGCTGTTGAATTTGTACTAGCATTGTGCAAACAATTTTTGTACATTTACATCATATATCTGGTTGAATAACTTCCTCAGGCACTTAAACAACCTTCTATTTATGTCTACTTATGAAACATTGAGAAAACAGCAAAGTTACTTCCAAAACCTTTTTTTGATTAAGATATTGTTTCACTTGTGGATGGTTTTTTTTGTTTTGTTTTTTTCTTTTTCAAATTCCCATTAACAAAAGAGTTCTTTACCTGCAATAATAATTGAACAAAATTCACTCCATAATGTTTTTGCTTTTAAAATGGGAGTACAGAGCATCTCTTAAGAATAATTTTTTCACAGTTTTCTACTTCTATTCGGGTCTCTGTTTGTGGAAACAATCCAAGTCCTAAAAAGCAACAGAAAAATTCCAATTCATTACTAAGTGTTTTGTTGGTGTCTGAAAAACAAGTGGTAAAACTGGTACTTACAGTGACACTAACATGGTGTCAGTCCCAACAGTAAAAGTTTTGCAAAAGAGTGGCCGGATCTCTCTTCGCAGAATAAGTAAAGCCCGGCGTACACTGTGCGATTTTTTTCAATCGTTGCACGCAGCTGCTGCTTACACTATACGACTAACCGCAGGGTTTCATCGTACAGTGTGAGGTCACAGTTCACGATTTTTGTTCGACCTGACACTCTCATGCAATCTACCTGCTCACACTGTGCGACTAAAAACCATGTTTGCTCCGCAGTGAGATGGAGGTTGGTCTGACTCATCTGTCCTGAAGCCAAACAAATAGAAGGTGAATATTAAGTTCACTATAGTGAGCCGTGCTGCCTTGGCAATTTGTGCAATTTTGTGCTGAAAGTCCTAAAAAGAAAAGTCGACAACGTATTTGGAAAAAGACATGGCTGAGTAAATGTGGCTACTATGGTCCGTCAATTTTACAGATAGAACCCTATTTCACTCATTGCATCCCAGCCATGCTTCTGTGTTTACATCTGAGAGGAAGGATAAAAAGAAGCGATTTGCCCACAAGGGTTGGGAGAAAATCAAACATGTTTTTATATTCTCCCGACCTCACGAGTCCTGATCTGGAGGTAGTCATGAGAGGCTGATCACCCATCGTAACCCCCTGTATGTGATAAGTTAAAATGGTAGATATTATCAATTAGACCATAAGAGAATTAATTGAATTCATTATTAAAAAAAAATGGTAATACATTAAGAAGAGAAATCAAAAGTGGGTAATCTGGAAAATCATCTGATTTAAAAAGGGTTAAAACGCTAAAAAGTGGTTTGCCTTACATGGATATTTTCTTCCTGATTGTGTAATTTGTGGTTAAGATGTGTGAATTTACAGTTTACGAGGCGATCTTGAACTAGACATGACGCTGTCTGTCTCCGCCCACATGCCTGGAGATGCCGCGGTCTTTTCCTCATTAGAGTAAAAGTTCTCGCTGAGGAAACATCTCTTTTCGTTGTTTTTATTCCTCCCCATTTTCAGGTATGTTGTCACTGTTAAAAATATTTAGCATGATTTTAGTATTCAGCTAACATGTTAAAGCAATGTTAAATGTGTTTGTTATAATTTAAGTTATTCAGAAGTGTAGTTATGTGTGTAAGTGTGGGCGTGTCAGTTGGCTCCCTGCTAGAACGCACCGACCATCACAAAGTTGTAAGGGGCGTCGCCATTTTGAATCGTTTGTAGATGCGCATAAACGCTTTTGGTGGTGTATTTTGCACTTATTTCGGAGGTTTTGCACACATTTATTTTTGTAAGAGTTTTTATTACATTACTAGTTTGTGTTGAAGCATAAAGTTGTTTTTCTAATGTGTGAGGAAACAGTTTAATGAACAAAGCTACTTATTAGTTGTTTAATGGGTTATATGATGTGCTTCATTTCTTTTATTAAAATAAACACGTTTTGGTTTTATAATGTTAATCTCAGAGGACCTGTTGCTTGTTGTAGGGCTTATGCCTCAGGTAAATACTATATTAGTAAGATGTGTGCTTTCTCTGTACCCAGGCGTTTTTGCTGTAAGATTTTATAAATGTTAATTTTTGTAAAACCAATATTTGATTAGAGTAAAAGTTCTCGCTGAGGAAACATCTCTTTTCATTGTTTTTATTCCTCCCCATTTTCAGGGGCGTAACATTTTGGAGGCACCGCTGGGATTGCTGTCCAGATGTCCAGTTGCCACAGCCTGGTTACTGAATTCTGAATCTGCAAAATCCCCACACTAAACCCAGAAAGGTATCAGGTACACAAAAGATCATCTGCTTCAAAGTTAACATGATGCCACTGGAAGAGCTACAAGAGGAGGTAGTAGGAGAGTTGCACACCCTGACTAAAGACAGTTTACTGGAAGTTTGTGATTTTCTCAACATATCTGGCAGTCAAAGGGAAGATGTTAAAGGAAAATCCCGCATATCACTGTTAACTCATATTATGAAGTATCTTGAGGGAGAGGAAGTAGCATCTCTTGAAGACAAGGGAATGTCGAGGTGGTTGCTACTGAAAGACAAACTTACATGTGTGCTCAGTGGAATGGAAAATGGGACACAACAAACAGAACCAGCTAGTGAAACAAAGGTACCAGGAGGAACAAATAAGAGGCAGGAAGTGGGACTTGATCAGGTTACCTCAGTAAATGCTACCGCTGATAGTAATGTGCACCAGCCCCACAGCACTGTCAGTCAGCAAGTAAGCCAGCCCCTCCCACCCAATGCTCAGTCACATGCAGGCTCATACTGGCGCAAAGACTTTAAGATTTCTGGTCAAATTGGTGAACCAGGTCAGAGAGATAAACTAACATTTTCTAGCCTTGCTCATCAGATAGAGAATGGACTAAGTAGAGGTTATCCTGAGATTGAAATCACAGATGCAGTAATGAGGGCTATCTCCCCCGGTTCACAGTTGCGCAGTTACTTAGAGGGAGAAGCTCACCTATCACTTCCCACACTAAGACGCATTTTGCGGTCCCATTTCCAAGAGAAGAGTGCTACAGAGCTTTATAAGCAGCTTGCTTCTGAAGCACAACATAGCAAAGAAACCCCTCAAAGTTTTCTCATGAGAGTTTTGGACCTAAGGCAAAAAGTACTGTTTGCATCCCAAGAGTCAGAATCAGGGCTTAAGTATGATCCAGCTCTAGTCCAGCGTATGTGTTTACATACCATACTTACGGGACTCCAGAATGACAGTATTAGGATAGATATGCAGCCCCTCTTGGTAGACACTAAGACGGCAGATGAGCTTTTGCTTGAGAAGTTGAACATTGCCTGCGCTAATGAGACAGAAAGAAGGAACAAGAAGAGGTTTAGTGCCCCACACCCAGTTACAAGCGCAAGTGTCGTCCAGTGAGAGGAAAAGCCCCCTGCAAAGAGCCATGTGCAGGAAGCCAAAGTAAAGGTACCCCCTGAACTGTTGACAGAATTAGCAGAACTTAAAACAGGTATTGCGTCTCTAAAAGCCCTTTCCACAGAGATAGCTCAGATTAAGGAGACATTGCAGCAGCCTATGTTTCAGCCACAGCCACCTGTACCACCACAACAGCTGTATTATCACAACTACAGCCAGCCTCAAGCACCTGCAACAATGCAGCCTCAGTATGCACCTCACCTGCGCCCTAACCACCCTGCATATACTCCAAGGAAGTGTTTTGGTTGCCAACAGGCTGGTACAGATGAAGGTTACATGCATTGCTACCAATGTGGGAGCGGAGAACATTTCCAGGCTGGGTGCAGAACCAGACCAATGAGACCATCAAGAGAGGCTCCTTTAAACGGGAAGTGGTTACCCCTGCGGGACGAGTGTTAACCATAGCCAGCGAAAGGTCCCAAAAATGTGTAAATTGTGGCAATGGGGGTTCACTAGGGACACAAAAAATTTGCTCATCCTGTAAAAAGGCACTGTATTGTTCCAGATCATGCCAAAAACAACACTGGGAGGAACATAAGAGAAAATGCACTCACATGACAAATAACAGTGAGAGTGAACAAAAGGACTACAGGGAGAAAAACACCCAATATTTACCCCCCCCAGTTCAAGTCGTCCACCCTCGCAAAGTCACATCGCTAGTTGGCAGGCAGTGTCTGGTCGAATGCTACCTGAATGGTCATCAACTCCAAGCTTTATGGGACACAGGCTCTCAAGTGTCAATAATTGATGAAAGATGGAAGGAGCAGCACTTACCAAATGAAAGGCTGAGAGATGTTTCAGAAATTCTGGACTCACCAAATGATCTAACATTGACTGCAGCAAATGGAACTGAAATGCCTTACCTGGGATGGATTGAAATAACTTTCCAACTTGCCCCTGAATGCGACAAAACAAAGGAACTGATCATTCCAGCGCTGGTGATGAAAGGCTGTCGTTTGTCTCATCCCATCATAGGTTTTAATGTAATTGAACACATCCTTGCAAAAACAGAGAAGGCAAAAAGGTACAGTGCAGTGAGGAAAACTGTCCCCAGTCTCAAAAGAAACAAGGTAAGAGCATTTATACAGGCAGTTAGCGCAGAGCAGATTGACAAGTACGCAGTGAAAACTAAGAAAGAGAAGGTTACAGTCACAAAACACTGCAGCATTCAGATTGAGTGCAGTGTAGCTGCCCTGCCCTTTAAAGAGGACATGACTATGTTATTCCAACCAGACATACAACCCAGATGGCCAGATGATCTGGAGTTTTATGACACGTTAGTTCAAGTAAAGAAAGGGGTTTTCCCAGTTATCACCATTGATGTTTCTAACCCAACAGATCATGACATTGTTTTGCCAGGGCGCACAGAAATTGGCACAGTACAAAACATAACCACTTTGTTGCCGGCCCAGATTTTTGAAAACACTGCAACACCAGCCTCAGTAAACCATACCAGCATCCAAAACTCATGTGATTCTACCGAACAGTGGGACCCACCTGTAGATGTTAGTCACTTAACTGAGAATCAGAGACGGGTAGTTAAACAAATGCTTAGAGAAGAGTGCTATTCCTTCTCCAGATCAGAAAATGATATTG